TAAATTTTTAATTTTCGTACCCTGTCAACATCCCTATTAGTGAAGTCAATTAACTTTCTTAATCCCATCAATTAGCTGTTAAGTAAACAACACCAAGTATAATGCATAGTGGGGCCTATTTCTATTATGTTTTTTGTGGTTTAAACTGTCAAACACCAAGCGTTCACCGGTGACCGCAACCTATTGTTCTATAATTGTGTCTACAAAACCGGTACTCGACGAGTTAAAAGAATTTTACTAAACTAAACAAGTTGTTAGATTCCTCACAAGATAGGAGGCTTTAAATAATTCATATCTCTATCAAGTAAATATGAAACAAGACTGCGTTTGGCGGTCTGATTAGTTGGTTCATTGGAGCAAGCTAATCAGAGGGACATACACTTTTCTTTTACTTTAAACATAAAACAAACTCATATTAAGCCCTCAGTAGTCATGACAAGCTCAAGATGAATAATTAGCTATTCAACAATTGCAAATGACACACACATCACATCCACAGGATTTATAATGCTGGACATAGGACTCCCCCAATGATTTCCAGCGTGACCGGCTGGGAGTGTTTTTGTGGAACATGATGTAGATGTGTAAAGTGAAATAATGTACCTTCTTATGTTACTGTGCAATACATACTTAAATAGTTATTTTTTTCAGTAGCTTCATTCATCCGCAAGTTATCATGGCATGGTGTACCATAATAATACTTCTTTTTAAACTGTCAAACACCAAGCGGTGACCGCAACCTATTGTTCTATAATTGTGTCTACAAAACCGGTACTCGACGAGTTAAATGAATTTCATCAATCAAAATAACATGTTTTCTTTCTCACTTTTCATCTTAGTTCAGTATACTCAGTATACTGAGTTCTACATTATGTGAGTATAATTACTCAAATCCTGTTTTATTTACTTTGTGTTCAAGTTCAAGTTCACTAGTACTTATATCGAGGGGTAACGGGCTATTTGGTTTAAGCGACATTTTGGGCGATATTGAGTTATTATATATATTCGACAGAGAAAAATTTGCTGATTCCGAATATATATATAACTCAATATCTCCCAAAATGTCGCTCAAACCAAATAGTCCGTTACCCCTCGATATGGATATACAAATTCAGTCTCAAATTGCAAATGGGTACCTCTTATGTATCTTTAAGAATTACCCATTAAAATGTCGAAAACCATATTATCTACAAACCTTATCATACGTAATACAATCCTTATATACATCGATTGAATTCAGGTATAATATTTTTACCTGAAATAAGTTTGTGTATAGTTTTCCATTTTATACTTCATAATAAGACTATATTATTTCAATAAAAATGTTCAAGACTGTAAGATTTTATTAAACTTCCCAGAATCAAGGTCGCTATCTGCAAGTCTATAAAGCTAGCACTAATTACAAGTACACATGTCATATACTTCACATAATAAAACAAATGCTTGCAATGTTATTACTTAGATACAAGTTATTAATATTATTCATACTATCTGTGTGACCTTCCAGGTAGCATTATGTTATGTTTGAGTTGAGTGATTCCTATCCTTTGTTTGCCATCTAATCAATTCATATATGCATGGTAAATAGAAAAACAGAACAATAAACTTTTTGAAAACAACCACTTTGAAATAAATAAATCTTATGAATAAATTGACCAGTCAGTGATTCTAGTACTTACATACACTCACATACATGATACCTACTTGCCTAAATATCCTACAGATAAATTAATTTTATTGTTGTCAAACTTTTGTCCTTGGATGATGTTCAAGTTGCCTGGACATACTCAACAATAATAATTACATTATGTAAAAGACGTGTATAGCGCCTACAGTAGGATAATGAGAAGACAGTATTCCAAAGTTTATGACATTTAAAAACAATTATTCAAACTTATAATGTTTTGTCAAATAGGTACCTACGAGAGACAGGTACTCGTGTTATGATACAGCTGACGTAAAGCAGCTATTGTATCTAGGAAATTAATTCTTAAAATTTTTGGCACTTACTGGTCACACTGTGAAGTTTTAGACTCGTTTGGAAAATCTGCCATTCCTTGATATAAAGCATGGAAACTTCAAGAACTTATTATTTTGTCGGATTGTTAACACTGAACTGGTTCAAACTTTGCCAAAGTAACACTCAAAGTATCAATCACGTTTAGTTAATCAGGACTATACAAAATATCAATATAAAAGCACTTTTATCAAAGTTTTATGTAATTAAGCCTGTCAAGAAAAGATGAAAAATACACTATACTGCGTTCGGTACACACACAATCACACACACAAGTTTACATTTCGACAAACGTCAAACCGAGCGCGTTTCGTAATCTTTGATTTTACAACTCTACAACGTAAGCATAAAATGATATTGTTAATTACACGGATAAAAAGCAGTGAGTAGATTATTAATACAGACTTTTTAATGTTGATGTACATTTTATAAATAACAGGTACAGTTTATTAAAGTAGTAAGATTGTCATCTTCAAAATATGCGGCGTTTTCTATTAGTTGCATGGTATTCTTAAATCAATTAAATAAAATTGTGTTTAAAATTCGTTAGGTTAACTTGATACATAAATAGCAAAACCAGTTCTGTGGGATTTTCCTATAGAAGATAGCAAACTGAATGAACGTAATATAATGAACTTCTTTTATACTATTAATAAGTAGGCCTTTTTATCTAGATGGAAAATCGTTAAAAATAGCTCCTCCAGTCTTCCTATCCTAGCAGACTGTTACTAAATAAAAACCACTTCGTTCCAAATCCTGTCCTGGCCGTGGATTAAGGCGACCTTACTTACCGACCGACTGACTATAGTTAGCGTATCTGTTTTGTTCACTAATTGAGTTCACAAAAAATAGCGTTACCCACAAAGAGGGAATCACCTTTAGTGTAAATTATTATTTTGGGATTTTTTATTATTTTGAGATGGCACCCACATTCGCCACTTCAACCGATGCTTGGCTGCTGCTGGCATCTAAAGGTCTTTTTTTTTGAGGGGGGAAAATCATCCAATGATTGCGAGACGAGACTAAAAACCACCCGTTCCTACTCCAGCACTTTGAGCCGGACCCCCGGCAACCCGTTAAGTCTTCCACGGCACCGTATCGTCATCAGCCCTATTGGACCCGTATCGTCATCCTTGAGGCGCGCGCTGAACGCGATGCGCCGTACGCTCGGGTGTGGGGCACCTAAAGGTCGCCAAGTGGCAAAGGCGTCTCGATAAGTCAACAGTCAAAATCAGAATGCGTTCGAACTGTCCAAAATGGCGGCTGACTGAGTGAGGAGCAGTTTACTCGTGTGCATTAGGTACCTATGTTAGGTGTAGTGGCAACATTGCCAATTGAACAAGTCCAAGTATAGGTATAGTATCAAGACTCAAATAATAATAATACGTTATCGACACTTAAAACAATAGAGCATAGGTACCACCTATTATGTATGTAAAGGTAGGTAGTAGTACCTATGTGTGTTCATGATCGGTACTACTATACTCAACCTGCGGTGCTGCAGCACGCAATCAAAAAGGCGTTCTATTCTCGATTTAAAGATTCTATTTTAAATTTCGCGCCTGTGAGTAGAAGAGTGGTTCGGGTGTCGCTAAAAGATAAACATTTTTTCTGTAAAAGCATGTGATATTATTATATCATAATTTGCTAATTACGATTTTGTATGTATTGCAGTGCAGCAATCATCAATATACCAACCATAAGACGTTCACTGCTGAATAAATATCTCCCGATGACTGACAGTAACAGGCAGGTCGGTTGGAAGTGACCTGCATCCAGCGGCCACCTGCGACCGTAATTAGGTCATCCGTTCACCTTGTGGCTGGGCGTCTTGTGCTGCGCGCCAGTACGTGGCCATCTTTTGAAAACCGCCTTGCTTCAGCTTGCCATCAGCCGGAACTATGTCGGCGACTTTAGTTCATTTGCGGATCATCTCATTTCTGATTGGATCACTCAGAAATACATAAAGCATAATCCTTTCATAGCTCGCTGAGTGACCTTGAGCTTTTTTATAAGGCCCAAAATGAGAGCCCACGTTTCAGTTCTATTTTTTGCGCAATAAGCCGGTGAACGAACAGGTGGATCACCTGATGATATGCAATGGGCGCGAGTGCGTTACTGGTTTTATTTCACCCGGTACAGCCGGAATTTGAGGATTGTTGGGGATTCGGGGTTGGGAAGATTTCCATAGATCATTACTGGTAGGTAAGTAACTCATCACTTGCTCCAGGTATACAATATTCGTCACAATGTGGAGGATAGAGGTACCAACTAATATCGGGTAGGACCAGAATTACATCTATGAATAGGACGTAACATACGACATGACTTCCGTCTAACCCATGTTCAATTGCAATTGAGACCCTACCTGTTGGGGAACTTGACAAAGGTCATCGAGCATTGTGCCTGGATCTCTCCTAAGGTTTATAGTACTCGAACCACTATGTTGTCGGCAAACTGAAGGTGAGTGATGTAGGTTCTCGACGTTGCGTTAACATTGATGCTAGATCTTCTATTTCCATTCTGAGCTTAAAAGCTTCTTCCAATGCAGCGGTAAACAAGTTCGGAGATTCCTTGCCTCTCACCTCGCTGCAAAGGAATATCCCTTGTTTTCTGACCGGCGACCGTTACTTGTACTCGGACCGACACGGTGGGGTTTCTGTGCAGTTCAGTTACTTCCTGTACTTTGGTATCTTGATCTTTTTAACCGACATAAAAAAGACGGGGTTGTAGTTGGTTTTTTAAGACTTTGACTGCCAATAAAAACAGTTGAAGGTATGTAAATCCTCCGCTAACGCCGGTCAGCAGAGACCCCCATGGCGTTTAACGTGTTAAACGTAGTTTCAAAAAGATTTATTTTTCATTGATCTATTAAATTAATGACATTATTCACCTATTGTTCTACCTATTTGGGGACGATATCCCCATAATGCTGGGCTGGTAAAGGCCTTCCAATAGTGATGAGGTAAATGAAACAAGCATGTCAGTTCAAATGTGTAGTTTGGCATTTATTGGCCTACATTAACAATTTCTTATGTTATATAAATTTAGGTTTTGACAATGAACATAAAGTAGTAATAAGAATTATGCCAAATCGTTCATTGTACAAATTTATGTTTAAAATTTGAAATATATATCCTAACTAGTAAGATTCTTCGATCCGACTAAAGTATAAATGTTTACAAGACTCATCTCCACCGCGACATTACTCAAACGTTGGCCAATTATGGCCACAATGCCTCATTTCATTATTATATTGTGTCCGTACACATGAACTTATTTTTTGGAATTAATAACACAAGTTGACAGAATACTACAATTTGAATGGTGGTGGTTTGCCAAAGGAGACACTACAAAAATATTATAGCACGTACATGTAGTTGTGAACATTAGTCGTGAGTCAGTTGGTGAGTCAATAGTGCTGTGTCACCGCAAGTTCGTTCCGCTGGGCGCTCATGTGTCGTTTTACTGTGCATTACTAGCTACTATTCGATCATTCATTAAAATAACAGTCAATAGTTCGAGTCCTCATCTCCACCCTAGTTGTTCAATAGAAAATATGTTTATAAATAGAACACATTTGTATACATTATAATATAGTACCTAAATGCATTTGGAATGAATATTGTATACAAAATAACAAAAACTAACTACAGTCGTTAATATTTTTGGTAAACAATATGAAACTGGAGTAATTCATTGAGTAAAAATAAATACATAAAATCACAATCAGTTAATAAGATCACTTGTGGGTATAAAGTGTATAATTACGTAGACAAAGATGAAACATCACAAGATCAGGGAACGCAGGGCGGCGCGTGCTCCACGCGTCCCGCTGTCACGTTACTTACCTACACTTACCGCTTACAGCTATCAATTTATAAATTAAATTATTGCCAATAGTGGAGCACTATCATAATTTACATTACAAACTTCGATTCAAAGTATTTTAAAGTTATTCATAATTATTCAAAATACACATAGGACATTGTTAACAAGTAAAACGCATGATTGAAAAATTCATGTAGTAAAACTAATATTTATAGTCGTATAACATATCGAGTTAGAATGAGTACATAATAATATAAACGCGCAGTCCATAGAACGTTAGCTTAGATTGTAACAACAAAGACGAACACGTCAGGCACTTACGTAGCAAAGTAAATAATTTAGCAACGGACGAATATTGTAGCATTGTGTACTTAGGTATAGCCTCGCCGCGTCATGCACTGTGTCGTGAACACAAACGAAATATTACAACTAATAATCATCTTTATTATAGTAAATCTATTCAATAGAGGCCGGATCTTTGTTAACAAAATTATCCTTAGTTTTTATTAGACCGCATGTTACCGCAATTTACATTATAGAACATATTATAAATATGCAATTTCTTTGTTAAATCTAATTTTGTATAAGGAGCTATAAAAATATTTAACACTGTTTCAACGGGAGATAGTATTGCAAACCTAGATACAATAATGAACTAGCATTGCAGGATAGTTAAATCAATTTGAAAATACTAAGTCTTTGCTTCAACTAGCTCTTCATTACAGTACTCCATTTATACACATTACTGTTTCCCGTAGCAGCTGTGGTATATATTTATATAGCATCTCATTATATTAATTATGTTGATATGCAAATACTAAAGAAAATATGTTTCCTTCGTAGGTTACATGTTGGCAGGAGGCAGTCGATGTGATTGAAGTCGATCGCTAGTGCTAGGCCGCTGACATGACTCGCGTGCAAACTACTAAACAAATGTACAACGAGCGACAACCTAACCAACACTAATTCAAATAATATATCGCATCGCTGGACAGGAGACATGTCGCGCGTGTCGCGTACAACAGCACTCAACACGTGTTTACTTCTTCGCGTTGGTGTCGTTCTTGGGAGCGCTGTTGTTTTTTATTGGGATCTGTAATCAGACAAATAGAATTTGAATTCAATGTGACATATTTTAATTCATAATCCTTGGATTGGTGATGATGAAAAGTTGAGTATAAGACAATGTAATCATTACGAATGCAATCGACCATTAAATAACGAGGGAATAAGGCGGGATTGTAACTTGTGGTTGGTAATGTATTATGAAATAGTTACTGCAGCGCGCTGGTCCTCCATGCGGCCTCCCTGCGCCCGCATCAGCAGCGAGAAGAAGTCATCATCGGGCAGAGTGCCCCTGTTTTCGGGGCGCGGGCGGGGCTTGGCGGGCTCGGGGCGCGGGCGCGGTAGCTCCGTGCGCTGGTCCTCCAGGCGGGAGCCCTGTACGCGCGCGATCATCTCGAGGAAGTCGTCCTCGGGCTTGGAGTGCGTGGTGTGCTGCGCGCGCAGCCCGGGCAGCGACGTGCCGGGGCCCGGCTCCTTGCCCGCCGCCTTCTGCGCGGGCCGCAGCTCGGCGCGCTGCGAGTCTATGCGCTCCGACTGCATGCTGTTGATCATGTCCAGCATCGTGTCGCTGGACCTGCCGCCGATACATCATCATTAATAATAAACCACTAATCACACTATCTACAACACTATGATTAACTATAGGTACATATATATAACAATACATGTGATTAAAACACTTGTTACACACAAAGACATGCAATCATAAAGAAGAGTAGATAATGATACACATCAAAATAATAAGTAGTATCCATTAGTTGTTAAAAAAATATTTGCTAATAAATAGAAAACTTAATGAGAGTATTCTGTAGCACTAACATAAAGGTTTTGATTTGTCTGTTCTAGCCTGAATTGTTCCTTAAGATACCACACAACAGGTGACAAATGCTCCTCCAAAATAACACTTAGCTCGCAAATATTTCAGAGACGTGCGAGGCAAATTATCACCGCGTCTCACACGGCTCGGCACCATACGTGTTAACATATCGTGACCTTGGTAAAACATTACTAAAACTACTTTGTTTTTATGCTTAAGTCAATAAAGAAACAATAAGTTAATATTTTTCGAAACACCATCTCTGTTTGCCTATAGCATTACAAAGTACGTAATATCAGACAATAGAGGAAAGGAAACAAGTGTCGAACAAGTGAGCATTCAATTTATAAACAGCAATACTATGAATACCCACCCCTTGCTATCTTCATCGTGAGTCTTCATCACTAGCTTCCGACAGCAAGTCTCACAGATATATTATAACAAAAGTACAGATGCAACCCACACGGTATATAGATGAGACCGTCACTATGAAAATGGATTTTTGTAGAAAGATATAATATCTAAACGAGTAGCTCGCATAAGCAGTGTGTCGTCATTTGTGGAGGAGGCGGCGAGAGGCACGCGCAGCTGGAAACTGTTGATAACAGTGTGCTGTTACTAGATATGGAGATCATAATGAGATAACAGACGACTGGCCGTTCGCATTACGATGATAATGAAATCGGTCAAGAGAACAGCGTGTGTTTGAGATATACCTTTCAGCCCCTGGGGATATTAATGACTTGTACTAGCGGACGCAACACAAGTATACCTACCGGTACATGTCCTGTGTCGTAGTTAGACACGACACACCGCTACCGCTAACATGTCCTTTCTATCGATGTTAAGACACCCACCGCTAACAAAATCTTTATGGAACAGTAGCTACTCCCGCGCGGTTCCATCCGCTGTTCGACTTCTACGATCGTAGCGTGAGGTGTTATCATCTCTACATAGTATAAAACAAAGTCGCTATCCGCCGTCTGTCTGTCCCTATGTATGCTTAGATCTTTAAAACTACGCAACGGATTTTAATGCGGTTTTTTAATAGATACAGTGATTCTTAACTCGTCGAGCACCGTCAATATAGACACAATTAAAGAACAATAGGTTGCGGTCACCGGTGACCGCTTGGTGTTTGACAGTTTAAGGAAGGTTTATATGTATAATATATGCATATTGCACTCGTGCGAAGCTGGGGCGAGTCGCTAGTGACCTATATAACGTTACTCGACCATTTCGAAAATAAAAGAAATTATTTAATTCGGATCTGTAGTTCTGGAGATTAGCGCGTTCGAATAAACAATTGTTATATCAGTGTAATAAGTTATAAATACACTTGGGTGAAATACGGGCCGAACAACTTAAGAGTCGGTTTAGTGTTTGCATGTACCTCTATAACCACTCGCTGAGTAGCCGATGTTGGGTTCAATACTGGGGTTACTAAAAGTATTACGGAGTTTATTGGTGCCAGCGCAACAGGTCAGATCCTCAACAGGTTACATTCAACTTCTAACATAATAGAAAAAGGGACTTAGAACCGAAACGTTGACTTGTGTAATGTTACGAATACGTGCTGTTTGTCTGGCGTTGTCAGCAGTGTGACAGGAGAGGAGAAAATATTTGTCACCACCTCTTCTGTTCCGGTGGGTATAATAACAGCCGATTGAGAGACTATACATTTAACAGAGAATAAGTGGCAGCACTCTGATAAAACTGTACATTATAAGAGATTGGGGCAAACTCCTCTCATATAGAGTAGGCCTGGCCTGTTGCTGTACAACGTGGTAGTGCGACTCACCCCATGTTCTGTATCTTGGTGGCGTTGGGCTTGGGCTTGTGCCGGTTCTCCTTGTTGCTATTGAGGATGGCGCGCTGCTCGTCCATGCGCCCCGACTGGCATCGCAGCACCAGGTCAAAGAACGACTCCGGGTTGTCCTCGGATTCAGTGCGGGCGATCTCTTTTTTCGTTTCTGGTTCCGGTTCCTTCTCGTTCTTCTTGGCGTCAGGAGTAATCTGTGACATAAACATTGGACTATTTTGTATATCTTTTTTTTTAATTATTAAAGTAAACAAACAGAAACAAAACATTTTCTGACCTGTATCAGGGATAGTTGTTCCATGCTCTGTCTTCGGACTCGTAGAGCATTGAACGGCGTGCGGGGTGCGCTGTCATCGTCCGAGGGAGGCGCGGGAGGAGAGTCGTCCGCCTCCGCCGGCATCCCTAGCACCTTGCGCAGATCGCCAATATTCATTTGAGCCGTCGCCATCCCGAGTACGTCACCCAACTACACAAACAATTAAGTGATGTAGCCACTGCACTTCCACAACAACAGGTTCGATTCAATCGATACTATACGCGTGACCGTTCACGTATTCCGACAAGAATAGGTTAATCGCTGTCTAAACATCGACGTCCGACGAGGCGACTTAGCTATGCACACCACAAATTGCTGGAAAACGTATTTTCTAGTAATTGGGTCGATAGCGTAGCCCCTATTATGTGCATTGTAAATTACAAAATGCTATTCTTAGTAACGAAAGAGGCTATCAAAGTGGGATCATTGTACAAAATTACATTTAAGCTCGCTGGCACACGGAGCACGGCACATCGTATCAGACCGTTTATTTATTCCGATACACTTCGTGTTCGAACAGCAGCTAATTTATGCTTGTTTACGGCGCGTCTTGGTTAGGAAGATTAATATTTCCTTTAAGATAATGTTGTCTAACAAAAAGTGTACTACTACTAAGTACCCAAAGCTTAACATGAACCAACAGAATTGAATGAATTTATTGTCATTATTATGTAAATTAGGTAAGCAGAATCGCAATCATCTTGTAAGCAAAAACAAAGATAGCCGGAATACAGCCGAGGAAGTAGGTCGACAAGAATGGGTCTATTGAGGCCCACAGAAAGAAACAGCCCTTCCAAAACAAATATGGCACTGCACCGGGCGGCGCGCGGCGGCGTCAACCAAAACGTTGGCTGCGTCCTACCTAGGCTATACTGCTGCTCTAACGCTGAGCATATTGTGTAGATAGGGCAGAGAGCAATCATGCACAGCGTATTTATTTGTGATGCTCTCATCAAAAGACACATTCTGTCTGTATACACCAAAAGAAGCATTCCGAAAAAGGTTGGTACATATGCAAAGCAAGTTCTCGACCAGTGAAGTAGACCCTATATATAGGTAAGGTAAAGAGCAGTTCATTTCAATATCTTGTGAGTCAGCAAGACCCGTGAGTTCGCCTCGCGACTGAAGTGAGCCATCGAGACGTAGCGGCGTCTAGCAGCCCGCTCCTTGGCTGCTATTTACGAAGGACCCTTAACGTTCGCATAGAATACGTAATTCGAAAACTCGTATAACATTTTCTCTAAAGGGTTACATTTAAACTGTCAAACACCAAGCGGTCACCGGTGACCGCAACCTATTGTTCTATAATTGTGTCTATAATGACGGTACTCGACGAGTTAAAATGGTATACATACATACATAACCTCACGCCTGTCTCCCATGGGGGTAGGCAGAGACTATACTAATTGCTACGATTTTTACATACCTCTTTCGAATGAAATATCCTCTTATTGGACATGTTGATTGACACTTGTTGCTCAACTGATTGCGCCTATTACCTATACATGCTTAATAACTGTTGGATTTTGCTTCGAGAAAACAATTTTTAAATGGATACTATAATTAAAAAACAATTAGACTCCAATTTGACACATTCTATAATGCGTCAGTTTGTGCTAACTGAACGGTTCCGCGTTCAACGATGTTAAAATATCCAATTCCCAAAATGTTCCACTTGAATATAGTTACATTAGAAATGTGCCGCGGTAGCGACCGCCGACCTCAACATAAAACGTTGTAAGTAGATCCTAATTCTGAGATGTAGTTTACACTTATCTTTCTGTTGTCGCCATTTTGAGAATTTAATTTTCACAGTTGGATATTTTTAACCAACTTCATGAGATTTTGGCAATTGGATATTTTTAACCTGAGCACTTATCAGAAGTATCTAGTCTATCATGAGCCTACATAAATTGTGTCTTTGTCACGTGGGAGTAAGCAGAAACTACAGAGTGCCACACTCAAAGCAGTTTCTATTACAAGCACATTGCTAGCTGTACTTCCAGATTATTTAAGAATACCTTGCCTTACGTAGTTATTTTTAAAGTCTATTTAATTTATATGTACTTTTACGTTCATTACAATTTTTATAATTTTCGTGTAATAAATCTCCTCTGAGCAGAAACGGTTGGGTAATATGTAGTAATAGCAGTCTGAAAATCGGGTGTAAACCGTGTTCTATATACGCTTAATAACCCCCTAGTGGTCGACATCAATGTTCGTTTGGTTAGTAGTGGTTTAAGATTAGCAATGAAGAAAAGCACATGTCAAACCAGCAAGTACAACATTACGGTAGTGATTACATGAAGTGGGCTACCGTTCCGATATATAACGGGTAAAAATCCACGGCGTTATCATGTACACTGTGTCGGTAGGTAGTGGCGGTAATAAGTACTACACAACATTAGCGTGGTTGGGATGTTCTGAGGCTGCGGCGGCGGTGGCGGTGCGCCGATAATGAGCTACACGCTGGCTAACCACAACACACACTATCGAATGCTTTGTGCGACTAGGTGTCCTACTCACACAATGCCTTCGATAAAATATACTTCATCACGGTTATTTACTGGCATTTTCATATCATAATACATTATCATGTCTTTAGTTTTGTTTTTAAATGTACCTATTTAAAGTTATTCAATTTGTCTAAAATATTGTAAAGCTCATTAATATTGAATGTATTTGTATGAGAATGATGACCATTATTTTGTTGTATTTCATAAAATTAATATAAAACTCGGTGTGCATAAAAATAATTGGTAGTATCGCGAATCAATGCTTATAAAAGATTCCCACCGCGCCTTATGTTACGAATACAGTCATCAACTTGTATTGTATACATCAGTAATTACACGAGCAAGTCACTTAATTATGCATCCTATCAGATCGATACTAACAATACAAAATGTAGTCTTACATCTACTTAAAATGAATTATACTTACCTTTCGAAGACAAGTGTAAAGAGAGATGAATGTCGTAGGCCCGGCGGCGGGTGACAACGGAGGTACGCAATAAGTCCCAATCTAGATAGGTCAATCACTTTGCCGGGTCGCGCGCTGACATGTGCAGTAACTAGTTCGCTGCACCAATAGCGGAGCTGGCCGCCGGACCCCGGCCGGTGCTCGACTATGATTTCAATATCTCACCTTTACAAGATACTACTTAATTTCTCTCAACGACGAACTCTATTATAAGAATGGTCGCGAAAAAATATTTTTTCAATATTAATTTAAATTCTTCAGGAACCGCGGAGTTTCCTTACGGGCGCTAATGTTTTGTGTTAGCGGGGTTTCGCGTTCGGGAAATGACGTCGGCTTTCAACAAGTTACCTGTTAGCTGTAGCCAGGCTAATATAAGGGCGCATGCGTGACGGTACCTAAACCTACCAACCGCACCGTTCAGATTTTGGCGCGAAAGGTTCGTATCCGATCGACTGATGTCGGCTGCACTCGTGGACGACCGAAGCCTCCGACAATATTGTTGTTGTTGACCCCGCGCGCGTCGCGAGCTCCAGACATATATATGACGTATTAGGGACGGCGCGCGCCGCGTCTCATTCATTGCGCCACGTAGATCCTTTATCTATACTATAATATGTACCTACATTGGCATGTATAATGATGAAACTTTTTTGTTTTTAATTTAAGTGTTTTATAGTGTGTACAGGGTTCCGATTTTAATAGTAACTAATTATATAGGTTTTATTCCTCTTTCTGCAATGAGAATCGTTTAAAATGCCGCTTTATTTTTATATGTACTGTGTAATTTTTACTTATTTAATTTTTTTTCTTCTCTAAGAATATCTTCTAATTTAATTCATTGCTAATCCAGGACAGTTACTCATGTTCAGTGTTTAGGTGTTTTCATGGTTGTATAAACAGTAGATCCTGGGGTACACGGGTTGCAATGGTTTTATAAATAGGCCTTCAGGCTAAATATGTTGAGTCTTATTGTAGTAGGTGGTGATCCTATGGCAATAGGATCAGACGACACAATTCCTTCAGACAAGGATTGGTAAACCTCGCCCTGATTATCGAGCCGTAAACACATCGCTAGAGAAAACTGTTGTAGTTACTAATCTTGTAGGGACTAAGCGGCTGCGGGATGTTATCATAAAGCTTTGAAAAACTTATTCAGGTTCAATTCTACCAGAGACGACTGCATTATTGTCAGTAGCATGTTGAGCTATGTTCTAAATGCCGAGGCTAAACCTCAGCTGACACATCACAACAAAGTTAACAGCTTTCGTTGGACCTCAATGTCTCTCTCGTTACAATAAATGAGGACTTGCCTTATACACGACAACTGAAGCGGGAGGTTACCGAGGGGGTGAATAATCCTTACTAAGACTAGTCGCTTTGAAAGTTAAAAACACTTGTACAAGAGCAGAAGCACAACATACCTACTAGTGATGTAACGAATGTGTGTTTTTGAACATTCGCGAATGCGAATGCGAATGCGAATATCTGATATCGACATTCGCGAATGCGAATGCGGATGCGAATATTCAGTTTGTGTTCAAATTTGGCGCCATTTGTATGGTTTGGTGGCAGTCTCGTACTGAACGAGGTACGTTCCGTTATAGGCGCATTTCGAATCAGACTAGCCAATACTTGTCGCCGTTTTCAGCGCGTATCGGAACGCAGGGTCTATTTTGTTCCGAGATTTTGCCCAAAGTAAATAAATAATACCAAATGATAAAGTAAAGACTGACAATGTGATTAAGAGGTTTACATGCAATAAAAAGGTTATAAACGAATGGATTTTGATTTTTTTAGCCTACCATTATTTTAAAAATAGTTTTTTTCTAAGAAGTACATATTCGCAAAACATTTTGCGAATGCGAATGCGAATATGCAAAAAATTGCGAATATTCGCGAATGCGAATATTCGTTACATCACTAATACCTACATATTTGCTGACAAGCAGGACACAATGGATAGACTGCTAAATGACCTCCACAAGTTAAAGATCAATTGAACCCACGTCGTGAATCATTCAATACTGGTGGAGTTTTATCAATACATGATATTTGATGCTTTTATTTATCTCCCTTTTTTACTTAATGATAATTTTTTACATAGAGCAACATAAATAGAAATAGAGCGCGAAGTAGTGCGTGCAGTCAAAAAAAAAATTCAATAAAATATTGTTTTTTCAATTTAGTGATATTGGAGCGGAGAAAGAGAGGAAGGAAGTGTATAGTGTATATATATAAGTGTCCTTATATTAGGTTAGGTAACAAACTTAAAAGTATTTATCGAACTGTATTCTATACTGTACAATATTAAACTGGGTGTGCGTTATTCTTACGGTAATGTGATTGAAACGTTACCGGGTTTAGCCCCGATTGCATAATTAATTTGGAGTAGCCAATCAGAGTGTCGAACATCATAAAGGTGTTGATCACATTAACGTATAGTAACTCGCAGTATGCACTTTGTTGTTGTCGATGTCTAGGGCGCAAGGTTGCAGACGGGCCTCGCGAGACACCAGAGTTGACAACAGCACCAAACAAATTAGTGGCGCCTTGGACTCTGTACATTTAATTCGCATCTGGTTATGAAATAGTTCATTTACTACTAATTTTATTTGAACAATGGGTCTCTTCTATAAAACAGGTGTTTGCCACCATCTCCACGTTTCGAGGTGTGTTGCGGATTGCAGATAAAAGGGTTATAAATTATAATAGAGGATGCTGCATGGTCTTTGTCAAATATTTAGAATATATAGGCAGAGGTTCACGCACTGTTGTGTTTGTCTTCTTTTGAATGCACGTTACACCCAGTAGGAACACGGTAGGAACGACAGTACGGAGGGCATAGTAATTGTATGTGATAATAACATGTGTTCTATTGCAACTTAACATAACATCACTCTTAAAAGGCGAGGAATCAGGGATAAACCCCTGGAGGGGCTGGCAGAGGTGCACATTACGGCACTTAATGCCACTGTACAATGTAATACCCACTTTTCCCTATTTATGTTCTCATCAACAGCCTGTTTTCGTCCACTGCTGGACATAAGCCTCTCCAATGGCACGCCACTGAGCTCGGTCTTCAGCTCTACGCATCCAACCACTACCAGCCACTTTACGTATATCGTCACTCCACCTAGCTGGAGGGCGCCCTACACTACGTTTGCCTAGACGCGGTCTCCACTCCAGAACACGTCTACCCCAGCGGTCATCGGTTCTTCGACAAATGTGACCGGCCCACTGCCATTTCAGCTTGCTAATCCTTTGGGCTACATCGGTAACTTTAGTTCTCTGTCGGATCACCTCGTTACGGATCCTATCCTTCAGAGATACTCCGAGCATAGCCCTCTCCATAGCTCGCTGCGCTACCTTAAATTGGTGGACCAGTCGCACTGTTAGTGTCCACGTCTCGGCTCCGTATGTCATGACTGGTAGGACGCACTCGTTGAAGACTTTCGTCTTCAGGCTTTGCGGTAGAGTTGACACGAAAAGATCCGATACAATTTCCTATTATAGGCATATAATATGCCACCCAGCCAAGCTGTATCCTTCTACGAGCCTCCCTCTCGAAGTTGTTTTTACCAAACTGTAGGATTTGTCCTAGGTAGAGATACTCCTGAACAACCTCGAGAGTAGACCAATTCAGGGTGATCGGCTCCGGAAGAACATGTTCATTGAACATCACCTTCGTTTTGTCTAGGTTCATCCAGAGTCCAATGCGAACAGAAGAATCAGCCAGATTTTTCAGCATACATTGTAGGTCTTGCACGGTTTCAGCCACGATGACGATGTCATCTGTTATTTATGTTATAACCATGTAATAGGGGGCGAGCCTATTGCTATATACTGGGCACAATTTCAGATTTCGCACAACGACTGGGACTTTTTAAACAGATATAGCAACAGTAGACATTAATAGAGTTAATATGAGAAATGGTCATGAATGAGTTACCTCATAAGCATTTGTTGCACAAGTAATGTAATTACAGGGCGCGAAAAAAAAACAGGCGCATTACAGGGCGAACGAGTAGAACTCACTTCTTTGGATATGTTGTAGTGTTCGTTGGCGAAATAGAGCGCTTTCTCATGGTTGCCGAGCGCGGCGTGCGCGTTGCCGAGCGACCAGCAGGCGCGGCCCTCGCCGACGCGGTCGTGCAGGCGGCGCGCGGCCGCCAGGTGGCGCGCGTGGTACTCCTCGGCCACGCGGTACTCGCGCAGCAGCGTGTACGTGTTGCCCAGCGAGTAGCACGCCTGCGCCTCCACCGCCGCGTCGCCCAGCTCCTCCGCCAGCGACAGCGTGCGTCTGCAACACCGACCACGGTGCTTAACGATGTAACTAATCTTATTTCATTCTCTTATTGCGTTATTAATGGCATAACTATACTAAACACAAACAGGTGTAGCCGCCGCTGGGCAATAAATCAGGTTCACATGATTGTGTAAGTAGCATGTACACTAAATAATGTGCAACTAGCCACCAATAAATTGATAATATAAATACCTCTTACAAACTTTTATTTTAA